GCTAATACCAGTATATCCACAATATTGCATGACCATTAACACCAAATACCAGGCTACAGATAGATACATAAACATCTGAGAAGATCAGATGAGGGTCAGTGAACAGGATTATACTCTAGATAGATAGATTCAGCTGAGGCTAATCTTGCACAGATACCAGTGGTACAAAATACCCGCAATCCTTACAGAAACAACAGAAGACAGACATAGAGCAATCCCTCACAGACAGCCAGACGCTGTGGGAGAGAGAGCCAGTGGATCCGCTGACTTGGGACCATAGTATTGGGGGACACCAGACTCAACTGGCACAACAAAATGTATACAAATCTTGTTCCACAACCTACATTGGTGAGTAGCAACTGGGGTCTTAAAAGCTTTCAAGCGGCCATCTAAGACTCAGCTAATGGTCTCCTGTCATCGGAAGTGACCAAACAAAAAACCAAACTCACTGCTGTCAAGTGGGATCTGACTCATAGCGACCCCTCCTTGGGTTTCTGAGGCAGTATCTCTATGGAAGAAGGTTGCCTAACCTTTCTTTCAAGGAGTGGCTGGTGGGTTTGAACCACCAGCCTTCTTGTTAGTAGTCAAATGCCTTAGGCACTACACCACCAGAGCTCCTCAAATGCTGACCATTAAGAGAAGATTGCATCTCGAAGATATTATGAACACTCAAAGAGTAGTAAGAGGTCATGATGACATTCAAACTCTAATTCTTAAGCTTGTGCTGCCTTCTCACTGGAGGGGAACTTTACCTTAAAATCTTGCTGAATTCCCAGGACTATGTCTGTAAGCCTGGAGCTGTCAGGAAGAGCACTTGACGGGCCTCATTTGGGGTCTGGGAGGGAGGGGACATGATCTGAATTGTACCTCTGGGGTTAATTGGCCATGTGGATATACAATGGCATATAAGAGGGAAAAGCTGGAGATCATTTAGAAGCCGGTTGCAAGGTCCTGGTGAGATAGAATGACAGCCAGTGCAAGGGTGATCTGGAAAGCACTAGATGCCCATGACATTATGGAGGCTGTCAGGGTCATGGCAAAGGACTGAATGCAGGCTGAGGGCTAGATACAGGGAGACCAGGATGGGGCCAAGGTGACTGACTGGGAAAGGTGGCCCCTATCAACATGAACAGAACCTCGTATCCTCAAAGTCTTCTTGGCCCTCATTCTATTCCCCTTCTCTTATGGTGAGTCTCATATTGGCCTGCTTAAAGTCCAGTGTCCCATTTGAGGGGATGAAGGAGAAGACTTCTTGAACTTAAGATTAATTTAATGCAGTTAATCATTACTGGTAATTATGCCCTAAATAATATAACATTAGGCTTAATAACTTAACATATTAGAGGTGATAGATGAAAAGATAATGAGTCAAGACATATGGGGCACATGCAGAAAGGAAAAAACCAAAAACCAAACTCATTGCCGTCAAGTTGGATCCGACTCATAGTGACCCCTCCTTGGGTTTCTGAGGTGGTATCACTAGGGAAATAGATTGCCCAACCTTCCTTCCGAGGAGTGGCTGGTGGACTTGAACTGCCAGCCTTCTGGTTAGCAGTCAAATGCCAGAAAGGAAAGTAGGCTTTTAATGGTTAAAATGGCAAACGTTTTCCTATGTATATTTTAACCATAATAAAACTAAAAAGACAAAAATGTGGTTGTTATCCCCATCATGCTTGGAGGAAGAAGAAGTGAACGACTCTAGATCTGTTTTTCCCAGCTTCTTCTTCTTAATGAACAGTGTCCACCCAGTTACTCAAGTCCCAAATATAAGAATTTTCTTTGATTGATCTCTTTCCCTCATTTTGGGGCCAGTGGTTGTCTAGCGGTAGAATTCTCGCCTTCTCTGTGGGGGATCTGGGTTGGATTCCCAGCTCATGTGGATTCCCAGCTCATGGACCTCCTGTGTAGCTCCCAGCCATCTGTCGGTGGTGTTTTGCATGTTGGTATGATGCAGAACAGGTTTCAGTGGAGTTTCCTGACCAAGGCGGGCTACAAAGAAAGGCTTAGTGATCTACTTCTGAAATCCAGCCAGTAAGAATCCTATGGATCACCAGAGTTCGATTCCCAACCAATCTTGGGGATGGGGCAGGATCGGGCAGTTCAAGTCACCATGAGTCAAGGGCCAACTTGATGGCAGCTAACCGCCACAACAATCCATCAACAAGGCCTGTCAACTTTATTTCTAAAACATACTTCTAGTTCTACCCTGTGCTCTGGTGGCATAGTGCCTGAGGCATCTGAGTGATAACCAGAAGGCTGGGGGTTCAAACCCATCAGCCCCTCCTCAGAAGGAAGACAGGGCAATCTACTTCCCTAGAGATATCACCTCGGAAACCCAAGGAGGAATCGCTGAGTCGGGATCGACTTGATGGCAGTGAGTTTTCAGCGAGCTCTACCCTTGTGTTTGTCTGTACTTCTTCCACCCCAGTCCATGCTGCTGTCATCTCTTTCCTAGAACTACAATAGCCTCCCACCTGGCATCTCTGTTTTCTCCTTTGTCCCACAACACTACGCTCTGCGCACAGTTTAGAGCGATCCTTAAAACCAAATTAGGTCACGTCCCTCCTCCTCTTAAAACTCTCCAGTGGTTTGCCACCCCACTTAAAATCCACATGTCCTCACCCTGGTTTACTAGTATGACCATGATCCAGTTCCCCACCAACTTCCTAGCTCCATCTCCCACCGCCTTCTGTCTTGCCCACCACGCTCACCCCTGCCACTCTGGCCTTCTTTCTATTTCTCCAACATACAGGCCCTTTTCCATTTGGGATCTTTGCTTTGTTGGGGTGCTTTCTCTCTGATCTCTGGCAGGTTGACTTCTTTTCATTCAGGTCTCAGGTCACCTCCCCAGAGGGACTTTTCCCAGATTCTACCACTAATGGAGCCACTTATCACAACCTCTCTGCTTTTTTGCTCTTCACAGCACTTGCCACTATCAGATCTTGCATTTATTTATTTATGTTTCCTCTGTCAGAATATAAGTTTCTTAAGAGCAGGGATTTTGCCTGTGTTATTCACAGTGGAATCTTCCATGTCTAGAATAACACTACAGAAGGTACTATTTCTTGACTAAATCTCTGTGAAGTTAATGTTTGTTGATGGAATGAATGAATGTACTAAGATCACTGTCTCCTCATCATCTCAGAGACCTCCCTTCAACCAGGCCTACAAGGATCTCCCTCTTCTCTGACTTAACATTTGCCATGAAGCATGTACTGCCTTATAGTGGATAGGAGCCCTGGTGGCACAGTGGTTAAAGTACTTGGCTGCTAACCAAAAGGTCACTAGTTCAAACCTACCAGCCACTCTGCAGGAGAAAGATGAGGCAGCCTGCTTCCATAAAGATTTATGTCCCAATGGGGACAGTTCTACTTAGTCCTATATGGTTGTTATGAATCGGAATCAAGCCTATGACAACGGGTTTGATTTTTTGGTTTAGGGACATTAGGAAAATAACCACAAGGCTGCCCTTATTTGCTTAGCAAGAGTGGGGATACTTATACTCATTTGGTACTTCCTGAATATTTCTATACCTTCTTCTGGGTCGGGAAGGTTTCTAAAACTTTCTGGAGTCCTTTTGGAGCTCAGATGCAATGAAGTTGATGGCACGGTACCAGGATTGGTCAGTGCAAGACCCATTTCTTGTTTCACCTGATATTTCCTTCTTTGTTTCCCATTCACAATCGCATTCTTCTTTCCTTCTCAGGCCGCCCTTCTTGGGTATTTAATATATGTCCTTCAAATCTATCTTCTAATCTATACATTTAGACATGTTTGTATCCTTGAAAAATGCAGTATTTTCTGCATGTGTCCCTGAGGTCTCTAGTGGTGTACTGCCTAAGGCATTTGACTGCAAACCAGAAGGCTGGTGGTTCAA